CTGACTCATTGGAAAAGACCCTGATGCTGGGAAAGATTGGAGGTGGAAGGAGAAGGGGACAACAGAGGATGAGATGGCTGGATGGCATCACCGACTCAATGGACATGAGTTTGGGTAAACTCCGGGAGTTGGTGATGGACAGGGAGGCCTGGGGTGCTGCAGTCTACGGGACCGCAAAGCGTCGGACAGGACTGAGTGACTGAACTGAACTGAACAAGTATACCATGGCATTTTTCAGAAGAGAAATATTATGAACCTCAATTTAACTGAATTTCAATCTCGGTGCTGGAATTAATGTCCTCACTCTTTGTAACCTTCTTTGGCGGCTTTACATTTTATACCCTGCTCTTAACTCTACCTATGTGTTATTTGATAGAAAGTGGTATATTCCACTAGAGGTATGAAGTAACATCTTATAGGGACAGTGAGAGAAGGAATATGTTCAGTGGTTTAAAACTGAAAGATATGCCGACTCTTGGAGCTCTACCAATTAATTTTAAACCATGTATCATTTTTTCAAATGCAAATCTGATCATTTCGCGGCATTTCTTAGCATTCAATAGCTTTCTATTAATAGTTTCCTCAGAATACAGTTTGCAAAGTTTCAAATCTTTCCCACAATTTCCAAAGGTTTACTTCCCACCATCTGGCTCCTGCCAGATTCTTAGCCCCCTTATTGAGTCAGTTACCTACCTTACATATTAGTCTATGTAGCCAAAATGCTTTTAACTTTTTAAATTTTGTTTTTCAATGTGGGCTTTTTCTCATGCTCTTTTTCCTCCTAGAACTTTCTTAATCCCATCCTATTCTTTGCTTAGCTGACATGTACTTATCTTTCTAGTTTCCAGGGAGGCTGGACCTAAACCCCCCCCCCCCCCCCCCCCCCCCCCCCCCCCCNGACCCTTCCCCTTCCCCCGTCCCTAGTTACACGCTCTGGTTGCACCTTTGTATTTTTTCTTTGATAGCAGTGAATTTGCTTATATTCTCTGTTCAGTGTTTATCCTTCTCACCAGACTGTAAATTCCAGGAGGACAGAGAGCCTTCTGTTTTATTCACTGTGTCCAACACTGGCACATAGAAGCATTCAATTTGTTTAATGAATGAACAAAAAAACAAATGGAAGGTTCATATGAGTATGGTGAGGACACAGAGAGTTATAAATTTGCTCCAGGATCAGTTCCATTCATTACATTCATGCATACTCTGTGTCTGAAGCCTCCAAACTGCTTCTAGAATGTGCCCCTGCTTTCCAGTCTTTACTGGCCAAAATCTCTCATTTTTAAAAATGAAGTTCATTTTCTTCCCCCAGAAATTTCCCAAGAAAGATGAGGCCATTCCCAGGTTATTTATATGCAGCCTCTGCTTCTAGAAACACAAATATAAGTTTAGTGACACTGGTTAATTCCCACCATGGTAAGGCAATCAATTATGACAGTTGATTCTCGTGTTTTCAACTTAATAGGTATGTTACATACAGGATGTGCCTCTTGCCATTAAGACTGGTTCATATATCGAATTAATGTTTGCGTATCAAAGTTAAACAATTTTTTAATACTTGTATTTCTATTTCCTTTTTAAAATATCTCTCCCAATGACGAAAAGAAATAAACATCTTTTGCCACATGAAAGCCCCTTTTAAGCGACTGCAGCAGATGTGCAAGGCTAAGAATACACTTGAACAATCTGAGGAGCACACACGAACACTAGCTGGCGACAAGCCTCGAGCTGAGTTGTATATACAGGTGTGTGGGCTTGCTGTTTCCATCTGGGAGGCAGCGTGGTATTGTAGCCCAGGCGACCCAAGACTCAAACACCAGTCATAAACCGCCATTTGCAAACTGGGCAAGTCACCTATGCCCTCTGCATCTCAAATTTCTCAAATGCCCCCCAAGACAGTTGTGAGATCATAAACAGTAAAACCCTTGGTAAAACAGAGTAGGGTGAGAAACTTAAGTCTGACGATTATTGGTAGGTTTACTTGAGAGCATTCTCTTTGAGAACAGCTACTGACCAATCAGATGAGGCCTCTGTCTGAAACGCCCACTGCACCTCTGACTGCTCCACAGTGACTAGCAGAGGAGATGGTACACAGTTAAAGGTTATCAAAGATGTTTCAAATAAGAGTATTTTTCAAAAGAACATCTTTCCTGTGGTTTTGAATAAAGTTCAAAGAAGTTTGGAGCAGGAATAGTGGCTAAGAGCTTTAAGAATTCCCAGATCCATTACTGTATTTTTTTCAGGGACAGTTCTAAGGAATAGCTATCTGAGAACACATCTGTAATAGCAGCTACATTAATCCTCAGTAGTAACACTAGCAGTCCCTTCTACCTTAGAAGGTACTGTATCCCTTAGAAGGGTTTTCTTAGAAAGTGTAGATCATCAACATAGCACCTGGAATGGAGGTCTATCCTATAGCTTTATTTTGTTAAAAGAAAAAAGTGTCATATATATGGAAGTAAAAGGAAGAAATAAAATCAAGGGATGTACTTACTCTTTGAGGTACTTGAAGGTTCCAAAACAACTTTAATCAACTTAGAAGAAATATATGCACATCTGAACATAGCCAAGATGACCTGGACCTAAAGAAACAGGAAAAATACTCCAAATTAATATGTACTTCTTTAAAAACTCAATTTTAATTCATATGGAATTAGGAAAAATAATTACCAACCATCTAAAATCAAAGAAATCTTAAGCCAAAAAAGGTGGGCAGTAAGTTTAAAAAAAAGGTAGTTTATTCTTAAATTCACACAATATCTATTTATGAGCTACAGAAGAAAAAATTAACTCATTTTGTGACTTAAGAAGATAGGAAAAATAAGGATGAAAATCACTGTTTTGGAAATCTTTTCATAACTACAGTGAAAGAAGAAGGAGGGCTGATGAAACACTATCTAATTAGTGTCTTGGCATAAAACACATTCCTGAGGTTTCTTCCTCAGTTTTATTCCTTTTAAAAGGATGCTGACAACAAAACTAATCAAAGTTGCTTTGTACCATGCCCCCTAAAACTTGCAACTAGAATTTCTTTTCAGTTTATAGTTCCACCAACAGCTCAACCTACCATTTAAATGTTTTCATATATCTTTCTTAAGCATCAACAACTTCCTCTTCAAACACTATTTACCTATTTACCTCAAATAGAAGGGTGAGAAGGAAAACTTGTAATGCCTAAGAGCTTCCTGGTTTAAGGCGTGTCTATATACATATACTGCTAGCCCTACAATGATCATAAAGTAGAATGATGTTCCCAAAAGTCTGCAGGAAAGGGATTTCAACCAGACTTTCTTTTTCTTTTCTAAATATATGTCTGGTTGGTTTCAGTCACAGTTGCTTACTTACTCCAAAGTTAAGTTTTCACAATATAAAACACACAATAGGATCTCTGAGCTATCCTTTTAAAGTCAGGTCACCAAGTCTGGCCTTCTAACGTCACGACTGACCCCTTGCAAAGCCTGTAACATAGAACTTGGGCTTCAGAGAAAAGCAAAGAGGGCTTCCAGAGAAGCTCACTTCCCCCTGACCCTTTCTGCACTCCCTTTGAGCTGTGTCCTCAGGCGCATCAGAGCTGGTAGAAAGACAGAGGAGGTTAAAAATAAAAAAGCCAGAGAGCTTTCCTGGTTAGAGCCAATGGAAAGAGACTGCAACAGTGACTATGAAGGCTCTCAGAACAAGCTCATCCCTGCACCACGAAGTGGGTTTGAACAGAGAGCAGGTCATCATTACACAACCAGCATGAGCTAGTGATTCAAAAATAGCAACCAGCAGCTCCACAGCACACACCCGGCCAGCCAAGCCCCTAGCCCTGGCCAGACACCTCGACATTTTCATAGCACTGGGTCCAAACTAATTTTGAGAGCTTCATCAAACACCTCCTCGTTCAGCGTTCACGTCCACAAAGGTGGTCAGCACTTTCCAGTGCTGACTGACTCTCCTCGTTTAAGCAACCTTACACAAAATCCTCAACTACTTATGCAAAAGACCCAGAAACCAGACATTTTTGCCCACACCTACCTGTTCCTCACATCCAGGGCATTTTCACTCGCCCACACTGAGGAGCCTCTCGGAGCGTCTCCCTCTCGGCGTCCCAGGAAGTGCGTTTCCCAGAGAGCTGCTCCGAAGGCTTCTGGGATTCGTAGTCAGGTTCCCTAAACCGGGATGCCCTGGACGACTGGCAGACTACAGTTCCCAAAATCCACCGAGCCGGCAGTCCCAGGCAATATCCTGCGACCACCTCCCGCCTTTCTGCTCTGCGTCCCACCTCCCCCATTCCTTTAACACCTTAACCTCCGTTCAGATTTGGGTTATAGGTCTACAAAACAGTTAGAGGAAACAGAGCTAAAAATGATTCTTAGTTGGGTACCCAAATAAATATTTCCCACTAAGTGATTTATTTACCACTTTCAGTGAGGGGGGTGGTGTGGGGTGGTCAGAGTGTTTTTTATTTGCTTTCAAACTTTTTATTTTGTTTTGGCGTATAGCCCCCAAACTCCCCTCCCATCCAGGCTGCCACATAACATTAAGCAGAGTTCCATGTACTATAGAGTTGGTCCTTGTTGTTTATTCGTTTTCATTATAGCAGTGTGTACATGTCCATCCCAAGTATATCATTTTTTTTCCCACCTGCTGTTTCTCAAGTAACTTTACTTCCAAACAATGGGTATGCCATCGAGGCATATTTGGGGGTGACCTGCCCAGGGCAGATGCTGAAGTGTCATGATCACACACATAAATGCAGATAGAGTAAGTGTGGCAAATGTTGGTAACTGTTAAATCTAGAGAGAGTTAAGTATGCGGGTGTTCACTGTACTGTGAAAATTCTCTGTACTTTTGAAAATTTTCAAAATAAAAAGTTTGAGGAAAAGCATCATAGTTGTAAATGAAAGTAAAGAATGACATCCATTCCTATCCCACTTTGCCACCCTATGACTTTGGGCAAAGTAAGGAACCTGTTTGTACCTCAGGATCTCATCTGTAATGATAATGTATTTATATAAAAAACTTCAGTGAGCATTAAATGAGCTGCTATCCACAGAAAAATTTGCAATACTGTCTAACACACAATAAGGACTGTACATATTTGCTATTACCATTTGACATTTTTCTGCTGCTTTAGTAACAACAGGACTATTTATTAGTTATGGAAAAAGCTACTCTCTGTGCACTGTTACCACTTTCTCATCTGCCACACTGCTTCAGAGAATGCAAGATACTTTAAAACCAGAAGCAATCTGATCCCAAAGCCAGGCCAAGAGATGTAGCAGTGAGAAAGAGGGCAGCATTAGATAGTAAAGAAACTCTGGGCACAGAAAGTCTCTGGGCTGCAGGCCAACTCCGGTAAGCACAGACGGGCGAAAACAATATGACACAGGATTCTTTGCTCTGAACTTCAGTTCTCTAATGTATAAAATGGAATTGAATCAGGTAATTGTGTACAAAATCATTTTATATTTTTTCCCCAATCATTGGTGATTAGCTAAATCTGGTTAGCTGACTTTAGCTGGGATGTATATGTAGCTGATAACAATTTTTTTAAAGCTACAAACAGAAGGGAAGACAACTCTGTTTCTAGACTTATTAATCAAGTTCAGGTCTATGGTTAGCTTGCCTTTGGGACAGAAAAGATGAGATACTTACATGCCCCAGTGTTAGGGCAAACACACTGACTAAAACCGCCCAGTCTGGCCAGGCACTACAGTGAATATCTGCATAAGTTATTTTATGACAGGAGGTCCTGGTAAGGAATACAGAACTAACAAGCCACCATCAACCAGAAGAAGTCGGGAAAGGATGAAAGGAGATGCCACGTGTCCTACCACCTCCCAGAATCCTCCTTGCTGAAATCCATCTTGGCTGAACAATGCGTGTAGCACAGGAAGGACCCTGAGTCAGAATCATTGGCCGGAGACAGCCCAGAAACTAGGCCCATCGCCCACTGCAACACCCGAGGCTGGGAGCCTTGCGGCAGAGCAGCTCCTCTGGGCTCCCTTGCCCTGCCACCCTCCGCCCTGGCAGCCCTTTCCAATAAAGCCTCTTGCTTTATCAGCACATGCATCTCCTCAGACAGTTCATTTCTGAGTGTTAGACAAGAACCCACTCTCAGGCCCTGGAAGGGGCCTGCCTTCCTACAACATATTCACATTCTTGCTGGCCTATCTAATACATAGTCTTCTAGTGTAGATGATTAAATGAGCTGGGGAGCAGCATGGACGCTATTCATTATGTTTGTTTATTGTGCAAGGAAATGCCTTCATCGGAAATGCAATTAGAGTGAAGCATACAAGACATCAGACAGGGTGTGGAGTTGGAAGTAAGGAACTAACCTTTTCATAACTGCAGAGATGGTAAACTCTCCTAGATAACTATTTACTGTGCATGCTTTGTGCTCAGTGGCATCCCAGTCTGCGACCCCGGACTGGAGCCCACCAGGCTCCTCTGTCCATGGGATTCTCCAGGAAAGAATACTGGAGTGGGTGGTCATTCCCTTCTCCAAGGGATCTTCCCGACTCGGGGATCAAACCTGGGTCTCCTGCACTGAAGGTGGATTCTTTACCATCTAAGCCACCAGGGAAGCCCATGTATTTATTAGCTCTTACCCAAAGCTGTGTCTGCCAGTGTCTGTCAGGCGCCTGCTTCCCCACTTCAGTCCCCAGTCCCCCGAGGAAGGCTATTTGCAGTCCTGTAGTTACCAGTTAATGTCGGAAAAATTACCCAAGGGGAAAGACTGGCATAGCTCAGAGGTACTGTGGCAATCCTGATGGGTAGCATTTGTCTTTATTTTTTCCTATCACATGAGAAAACTGTTAAATGAGGGAAAGCATACTGTGGAGGTGGCAAGAGTGAATGTCTTTTGAGAATTATACTACTTTCAGTTCAGTTCAGTTCAGTTGCTCAGTCATGTCTGACTCTTTGCGACCCCATGGACTGCAGCATGACAAGCTTCCCTGTCCATCACCAACTCCCAGAGCTTGCTCAAACTCCAGTCCATTGAGTTGGTGATACCATCCAAACAACTCATCTTCTGTCGTCCTCTTCTCCTCCTGCCTTCAATCTTTCCCAGTACCAGGGTCTTTTCCAATGAGTCAGTCACATCAGGTGGCCAAAGTATTGGGCTTTCAGCATCAGTCCTTCCAATGAATATTCAGGACTGATTTCCTTTAGGACTGACTGGTTTGATCTCCTTGCTGTCCAAGGGACTCTCAAGAGTCTTCTCCAACACCACAGTTCAAAGGCATCAATTCTTTGGCACTCAGTTTTCTTTATGGTCCAAATTTCATATCCATACATGACTACTGGAGAAACCATAGCTTTGATTAGATGGACCTTCGTTGGCAAGGTAATGTCTCTGCTTTTCAATATGCTGTCTAGGTTGGTCATAGCTTTTCTTCCAAGGA